TAAAAATAGCCGTAACAAGTCAAAATCAGCTCAAGCTTTCTACACAGCATAAGGACATCAATATGTATCAAAAAATTAAATAAAAATTTGGAGTGATTTTGGCGCCATTTTTTGGAAAAAACCATGACTATAGCCTTGGGTATTTTTCAGAATTTTGATGTTTTCTTAAAATGGCCGTAACTTGAAAGATTCAAGTCGGAATCAGCTCAAACTTGCTACACAGCATAAGGACATCAATATGTATCAAAAAATTTAATAAAAATTTGGAGTAATTTCGGAGCCATTTTTTGGAAAAAACCATGGGCTATAGTACAGGGTATTTTTCAGAATTTTGGCGTTTTCTTAAAATTGCCATAACTTGAAAAATTGAAGCCGGAATCAGCTCAAACTTTCTACATAGCATAAGGACATCAATACATATCAGAAAATGTAATAAAAATTGGGAGTAATTTTGGAGCCATTTTTTGAAAAAAACCATGGGCTATTGCCTTTGGTATTTTTCGTCTCATAACTTTAAAAAATTTATTTGGCATCAGCTCAAACTTTATACATAGCACAAAACATCTCAAATTGATGTACATGTACAGTTACATGTTGATTACTTTTGGTAAGTATCCCAATAACTTTGTTGCATGTTCTCTCAGTAAACGTTGTCTCTCTTGTTCAACAATAGCTCTCCTCATGGACTCCTGTCTCTCCTCCTCCTTCCTCTCCAACACTTCAAGCTCCTAAATAAGTATAACACAAGTATCAATTATTAATATTACGCTGGTAAACCCATTTGTACAGTATTCTATACACTCAAAAATCCATTTCCATACTCATAATAAATCCATTCCTACACTCAAAAATCCATTCCTATACACTCATAAATCTATTCATATACTCATAAATCCATTCCTAAATCAAGAAATTCATTCCTATACACTCATACTGTATCTCATTCCTATAATTCAATTCCCATACCTTCAATCTCTGATACTCTTGTCTTCGTTCTTCAATCAGTTTCTCTACTGCCCTCCTGTGCTCCAGCTGCTTCATTCTTCTCTTCTGTGCATTCATGAGCTCAATGCGATCATCCTCAGCAAACTTAGCCATCAACTGCCTTCTATATTCTTCCTCTTCTGCTAGTTCTGCTATTCTCTTCTTTTCTTTCATGATGAGATGGTCATCATGAGCCTCTTGTAGCTCCAGTCTTTGTCTTATTTGAACTTCAAGTGCTTTCTGTTAGAAGGAAAGAGAAGAATGATGAAAGAATATTGTACATGTTCAATAAGTAGACACAAGTATATACTGTGAATTAGTGGATATACTGGACATGTGAGTACATGTACATGTACATGT